TGATTATTGATTATTGATTATTGATGGGAGATTGGGATAGATAATTGTTTCGGATAGATGCTGAGACCATACCTTATTGAGTTATGATTACTTTTTCAATATTGTGAATAACATTTACTGCATAGTGGTGAGCACTACTGTTCCTCTTGTGCTCATCCCCACCTGCTCTTCATGGATGCAGGTTAGTATTGCGGGCACGGCAGAGGGATGCGAGTGGTGGTCTTATTATAGATATTGCTTCCGCTTTTGAAAACTGAATATTGTTATTATTGTTTTTCTTGATTATTGAATGATAGAGTATTGATAGGGAGTGTACTTTCTAGGATATAGTGATTATTGGATTGCAGAATTGATTATTGAGGTGTTATTATTTATAAATGAAGATTGATGATGGATTGAGTATTGATATTGTAGTTAAGTATTGATGAACGTTTCGAAAATGAGTAGCGCCTCAAAGTGTTTTGAAATAAATTCGAAAAAAAAATTTATTCTGATTTTCGGTAAATAAAAGTGGGGCGTTACACTTTTGGACATGTATATATGTATTTTGCCACGTTTTGAACTTCCGCTGACATTTTCAGGTTTAAAAACTCGCATGTAAATATTCAAGTTTCGTCAATCAGATTTTATACAGTTTTACATGCTTGTTTGACTAAGATAATCCGTTTTTCTTAATAATTTTAATACGGAAATAACAACGGAATCTTAGAAAAGAAATGTTTCTTAGTAGCATCTCGAATCACGATTTCGCAAGTTAATATGTATTTTTAGAAAGAAAATTGCGAAAATTTGACTCTGATTTTAATATGCTAGCGGGGTGTTACAAATGGTATCAGAGCATGTTTTTGTGTATCTTAATACTTTATTAAGTCAGAAAATTTTCAGAAAAACCGAGCACGCTACGCTCACACCTCGCCGACTACCAGGTAAGTGCTGAGTTACAGTTTATATATATATATGAACGAATGCTTAAGTCTATGCTCAGTAGAGGGTATCAGATCTTTAACCCTAGAAACCAGTAAGATGCTCGAGTTAGTGATAAAGTATTATCAAAACATAAGTTGATTGTCCCAGTGATTTGATAATTTGGCTCTAGTTTTCTCGGGTTAAGTTGAGTAACTCGTCAAGAGATCTGTGCGCATTCATGATCAGTTAAAGTGTTTTATCATGTTATAATTTTGCGTCTGATTACGTTGATTTTTTTTTCCATATTCAGATGTCGCCTCGTAGAGAACCAGATCATCAGGAGGTCCCCCAGGCCACAGTAGTCGCACAGTTTCGCGACTATCACCTAGAAAAGTTCTCCGGCTAGGGAGATCCTCGTATCGTGGACGAATGGGTTTAAGGCCTTGAAATGATATTCGAGGTCATGGACTGTCCAGACCGCTATCGTGTTTTGTGCGTACAGCTTCAACTGACCGGTGATGCTCGACTCTGGTGGAGTGCTTACTGGAGTATGCGACCCGGCAAAAAGGACGGTTGTACTTGGGATGGGTGGAAGGAGTTGATTCGTGAGAAGTACTATCCCACGTATTACCGAGCAGAGATGGAGCGTCAGTTCCTGGCGCTCAGACAAGGTACTCGTTCTGTTGATGAGTACGAGAGAGAGTTTACCCGACTCGGGGCCTTTGTTCCCGATTTAGTAAGTATAGAAGCGAAGAGAGCTCATCGTTTTATTGATGGAATTCTCCCAGCAGTCCGTCACAACATCGTAGGTCACGGCGTCCAGACCTATGCCCGCACAGTCGCCATTGCTCAAGAAGTGGATGCCAGTATCCGACGAGAAGCTATTCCGATTCCAGCCAAGTCAGTTGCCCAACCGCCTATCCAACTTGTAGCTGCCCAACAACCAAAGAAGCAAAACAAGAGGAAATGGAAAGGACCCCAGGATGATCGCAAGAACCGCCCCAGACAACAACAGACTCCACCTTGTGCTACCTGTGGACGACGCCACCACGGAGAATGCCTTGTGGGCCAGAACATCTGTTTCTTCTGTCGCCAGCCCGGCCATATCAGCCCCAACTGCCCAGAACGACTGCAACAACAACAGCCACCTCAGCAACCTCAACCTCAACAGCAACCCAGGCAACAGCCACCACGACCCCAACAACAGCAACGCGGCAGACAGCAGGCCCGTGTCTTTGCAGTTGACCAGAGGGAGGCCGACCAGCACCCAGGTACCATGTCCGGGATGATTGTTCTTAATGATGTGCCTGTTTATGCCTTATTTGACACCGGAGCGACCCATTCTTTTATATCACGCCGATGTCTCGAAGTTATAGGAGTTCATTCTATTACCACTGTCGATCCTCTTGAGGTGAGTTTAGACTCGGGACGAAAGATAGTGACTGATGCTAGAGCCACCAATCTCAGCCTTTCCATCGGCGGTCGTATTTTGACTTCTGATGCTTATGTCATCGAGATGAGGGATTTTGACCTCATACTCGGTATGGATTGGCTAACACGTTTTCATGCAGATATCCGATGTCATGCCGGGAGATTACTCTTTATCTTCCGGGAGATGATCAGATCACTTATTTTAGCTCCAGGACTCGTACTCTGCTTCATGTTATTTTTATAGCGAAAGCCAGGAGGATTCTTCGATGGGGTGATTGCCAGGGTTACCTTGTGAGCCTCGTTGGAGATGAGCCAAAAGCACGGTCACCTCATGACATTCCCATTGTTCGTGAGTTTGTGGACGTGTTCCTAGATCAACTTCCCGGCGGTCCACCCAGCCGACAAGTGGAATTTTCTATTGATCTTATCCCTGGAGCCGGACCCGTTTCTAAGGCACCATACAGAATGGCACCTAAGGAATTGCAGGAATTAAAGACTCAAATTCAAGAGTTGTTGAATCTCGGTTTTATTCGACCGAGCATCTCACCTTGGGGAGCACCCGTTCTCTTTGTTAAGAAGAAGGACGGATCCATGCATATGTGTATTGACTACCGGGATCTTAACCAGTTGACAATCAAAAATAAATATCCGCTTCCCAGAATCGATGATTTATTTGATCAGTTGAGGGACGCCTGTGTATTTTCCAAGATCGATTTACGTTCAGGCTACCATCAGCTGAAAATCAAGGAGTCAGATATATCTAAGACAGCGTTTCGTACAAGATACGGTCACTTCGAGTTTGTGGTTATGTCGTTTGGCCTCAGCAATGCCCCGACAGTATTCATGGACTTGATGAACCGTGTATTTCATCCTTTTTTTGATCAGTTTGTGATTGTATTCATTGATGATATTCTTATCTATTCCAAGAGCCAGAAGGAGCATGAAGAGCATTTGAGGGCCGTTCTTGAGACTCTTAGACGTGAAAAGTTATATGCAAAGTTCTCTAAATGCGAATTTTGGCTTCAGCGAGTGGCTTTTCTTGGCCACATTATTACTCAAGCAGGTATTGAAGTAGATCCTTCCAAAATTGCCGCAGTTCAGAACTGGTCAGCACCGAAGAATCCGTCCGAGGTTCGTAGTTTCCTCGGCCTTGCAGGTTATTATCGCAGATTTATTCAGGGGTTTTCGAAGATTTCCCTCCCTTTGTCCCAGTTGACGAGGAAGTCTGTGACGTTTGAGTGGACAGACCGTTGTGAGTCGAGTTTTCAGGAGCTGAAAAGGAGGCTTACGACGGCACCGGTGTTGATTATTCCAGATCCTTCTTGGAGTTTCACAATTTATAGTGATGCTTCGAAGCAGGGTTTGGGGTGTGTACTTATGCAGGACGACCAGGTTGTAGCATATGCTTCACGTCAGTTGAAGCCCCATGAGCAGCACTATCCTACCCACGACCTGGAGTTAGCTGTAGTGGTACATGCACTCAAGATATGGCAACATTATCTTTATGGTGGTCGATGCGAAATTTACACTGATCACAAGAGTCTGCAGTATATTTTCACGCTAAAGGAGCTCAACATGCGTCAGCGATGTTGGTTGGAGCTTGTTAAAGATTATGACTGCATGATTCAGTATCATCCGGGGAAAGCAAATGTTGTAGCTGATGCCCTGAGCCGAAAGGTAAAGGGCGAATTATCTTGTTCTATTACCCAGCAGCGTCATCTTGTTCAAGACTTTGCCCGGATGCAGATTCAGGTCATCGAGTCACTTCCTGCAGTGATTACAGGGAGTGTTAGATTGATGCAAATCCAGTCCACATTGAGGGACAAAATCCTGCGAGAACAGGCTCATGATCAGTTTATTCGTGCTATTGAGGCCAAGGTTTCCGCCGGAGGAGTCGAGGGTTTTTCCCGAGGCGCAGATGGCGCCTTAGAGTTTCGAGGCAGGATCATAGTGCCGAAGGTCGAGGCTTTGTATAAGGAGATTTTGACAGAGGCACACACCGCGCCTTATTTGGCTCACCCCGACAGTACCAAGATGTATCACAACCTGAAAAGGTCTTTCTGGTGGAAGGGAATGAAGAAAGATATTGCCAATTTCGTGAAGAAGTGTTTGGTCTGTCAGCAAGTTAAGGCCGAACATAAGAGTCCCTTAGGCCTTCTACGACCACTCGAAATTCCAAAGTGGAAGTGGGAGGAGATTGCAATGGATTTCGTTATAGGGCTGCCCAAGTCGTCCGAGCGCCACGACGCGATTTGGGTAGTAGTGGACAGATTGACGAAAGTCGCACATTTCCTACCTGTATCGATGACCATGTCGATGGAGAAGTTAGCCGAGATTTATACCCGTGGGATCGTTCGACTCCACGGAGTGCCCATTCAGATTGTGTCAGATCGAGATTCCAGATTCACTAGCAGATTCTGGAAGAGTTTACACGAAGCGATGGGCATGCAGTTGCAGTTTAGTTCGACTTACCATCCAGAGACAGACGGTCAGACAGAAAGGACTATTCAGACGCTCGAGGATATGCTCAGAGTGTTGGTTCTAGACAGGGGTGCTAAGTGGGAGTCGATTTTACCATTAGTTAAGTTCGTCTATAACAACAGTTATCAGGCGTCGATCCAGATGGCTCCTTTCGAGGCACTTTACGGGCGTAAATGCTGCTCGCCCCTTTATTGGGACGATGTTGGCGAACGTCGAGTACTCAGTCCGAAAATGATCGAGGAGACAGCTGAGCAAGTCGGGCTTATCAGGAAAAGGCTTAGAACAGCGCAAAGTCGGCAGAAGTCATCAGCCGAGAAGCATAGATGTGACATCCAGTTCGAAGTCGAAACGCGAGCTTTTCTCAGGGTTAGCCCATTCCACGGAGTTATTCGATTTGGGAAGAGAGGGAAGTTGCACCCTCGATTCATTGGTCCGTTCGAAGTTCTCGAGCGAGTGGGCGAAGTTGCGTATCGATTAGCCTTACCTCCCGAGTTATCCAGTGTTCATAATGTTTTTCATGTATCCATGTTACGTAAATATGTGTGCGACCCCAATCATGTTATTCTACATACCGATATTCAGATCCATCCAGATTTATCTTACGAGGAGCGACCGGTAGTTGTGTTGGACCGATAGGTTCGACGGCTCCGGAAGCGTGATGTTCCCCTCATTCGTATTCAGTGGGATCGCCACGGAGCCACTTGGGAGCAGGAGGCTGACATTCGCGCTCGTTTCCCTGATTTCCAGTTTTGATGTATATACTTTTCTTGTATCCTGTATATATGTCCAGTTTTATATTTCCGAGGATGAAAATATTTGAAGGAGGGTAGATTGTAATAACCCAGTGTATTAATAAACGCGATGTATTTTTATAATGTTCATTATAGCTTTTCAGTCAATAAATTCGATTTTACGTCAAAAAGTCTATTTGGTTATTTATTAACCAAGATCATTTCGATAATTAATTTCCAAACCGTTTATTTTATAAACGGACATTATTAATCGGGATTAATTATTAAAAGTCAAGAATGTTCGAATTTAATTTCGAAATCAAGTTCATCACTCGGAAATTCAAGTCATAGTTCACACGCACGCACGCCGTGCGTTGGCATGCATGTATGCGCACGCAACCGTGCGTAGTGCATGTTGTCGTGCATAGCGCGCGCGCGGTACTAAGCTATCGCCCATCATTAGCTTATATTAAGCTAAACCTCATGATCAATGTTAATCAAACCCAAGCCCATCTCCTTAGTAATTGCCATGAGGAATTCTTCAAGTAATATTATATGTGCAAGTTGCCAAGGTGAATCACCTAGTAGCTTGGCACACATGGCACCACACGAGGCCGCGTGCGATGACTAATCCCGTGCATGCGCGCCACCTCGGACGGTGACTCAGCCAAGGCCACGCCACTTCACCCCACGGCTAAGACATGTGGCATCAAGGGAGAATTCATCATCTTTCACCTCCTTTGACCCAAGTTAATTTAATATTTTACCTTCTTTTTAAATAGTAGTAGCCGTGAGTTTCCTTAAGAAAACTTCACGCACTTTTCATACAAAAGCCGAGAACCAGCCTTAAAGAATAGAGAAAAATAGTGAGAAAAAATTGGAGAAAAATCGTACAAAAATCCCCAAGAATAGCCGAAGCTAAGGAGGAGCACACGCATAGCATTCGAGCACAGAGCACGCACGCAAGTCGCCGTGCATTTCTCGAGCAGTTTAAGGGGTATACTTCTTTTTATCCTCTTTTCATATATTTAAGTTCATAGTAAGACGATCATGTCGATATAAGGTTGTTCGGTCCAAGTTTTTAGTAAAAACGCACCCGGAGGTGCTATATAAGCCCTCCCAAGTGATTCCAAAATATAACCGGCAAGTCCCAAGCAATTTATGTAAATTTAGTCATTTCAAGTCATTTTATAATCAGTCATATGTGGGTTGCTGGAAAAGTCGATGGACGGCCGGCGAAAGGCCGACCGAAGTACCTGTCCGCACGTGGTGTGCACCGGGTATAGCCAGCAGTCCTAGCGGGCACGCAGGCAGCGTGCACACAACCAGCAGTGCGTGCGCGTAGCCGGTGCCCAGCGTCCAGCAACGTGCCGCCCAGTCATGTGTGTAGGCGTGTGCAGTGCACGCCAACGCGCACGGCAGCACGCAGCCAGCCTGTCCGCGTACACAGCAGCGCGTTGCACGCCCACTAGCGTGCCCCGCAACGCCCGTACACCCGCCAGTAGTGCTCTACGCATGCTGTGTAATATCCCATTCAGTTAAGTATCAGTTATCTTCAAAACCGAGAGATTTTGAGGGTAAAATAAGTTTAGAAATTAAAGTTTTTAAGCCACACGGGTCGTGTCACAAGTAACACGGGTGGTGTTGAGTCACACGAGTCGTGTCACAAGTGACACGAGTCGTGTGGCTCAAGATGCAATCAAAATATTGTTTCGGCTTTGTGACACGAGTCGTGTCACTAAGTGACACGAGTCGTGTGAGGACACACGAGTCGTGTCACAAGTGACACGGGTCGTGTTGCCGACAAAATTTCAGATTTTTGAGAGTTTGTATTTAATGCCAACTAATATGATTTTCTAGCTATTAATTATGTTAGCTGATAATGTGAATTGTTAGGTGAGGATTTATTTAAGTTGATTAAATTTTAGAAGTTTAAA